TTATTAGTATGTGTTTCAGAAAAAAATCCTTCATGAGTAAAAAGAATGATACTGGTAGCCAGCGTGGGACACCCAACACCAGTGGATGCTGTTGGAGCAGGTGCAAAGCCCCCTCTCTTGTTACAAAGAATTCAGAGTTTACTGTATTTATTACCTTTGTCCTGAAGGCTGTGCTTCATTCTACAAATATAATTTTTCATTAATTTTCTTTTTTTTTTTAAAGGTAACAGGAAGTGTATGGACACCTATCTAAAACACAATTACAGAATTTGGTAAAGCAACCTCTGCTAATTTTACTTCAAAATTTGGTTCTCTTCTTTGTGGTGAATATGAAAATAAGAGTTGGGGGACAGCATATGTATAATGCCGTCTGAGGCAGGCTCATGAGGTGGTGCAAGATAGACTTTTACAACCTCAGAAGGCTGGGCTATATAAAGTGATGCTCAGATAAAGGTCTCCTTTTGCCAGCCGCAGCATTAAAAGCCACACTGTCTTCTTGCTCGCTCAGCAGAAGCCAGCTCTCTCCTGTACCTGTTGTGGCTGTGGTCCAGCTCTCCATCCCTCACTCCTCAGTAAGGTGGTAATGCTCTGACAGGCTGAAATTCAGCTGAGCACTGCATTAAGAGTGCTATGGGTAACTTCCACCTCTGCTTGCAGCACTGCTTCTTCAGGGCTGAGAATAGTATGTACTAAAAATACAATGTCTCTGTAATACAAGTCCTGAAAAGTAAGGTATCATTTCTGCACAGATATTTTCCAGAGTGGAATTGCACTTGATACATTTTTTAAATGCTGACAAAACTATCGCAGGGTCTGGGGTGGACATTTGTTCCATTTCCTTCCAGGCTATGCTCACGTAGGAACTGTGCTGTGGAGTGGTCTCTGGACAGCAAATGTTACTTTCCACTATGGCAGAAAATTGGACAAACTCAATATGAAAAATGAAGGTACTTTTCTAGTTCAATCTCTCTTCCACAGAGTGTGGCTGGCAGTGGAACAGACACTCTCACTTCCTTGCTGGTTGTGTAACTATCTGTCTCAGCTTCTTGATACCTAGTAAATCTATCAGCAAAATGACAGTAATGTAATTGTGATTCCACCACAGAATGTGATTTTTCAAATCCTATTTAAACTTCAACATCGAAGAGGTTCTATTTATTATTCTGAAATAAGGATGATTCAAAAAGATAATAATTTCATATTATTCTTAAATCCATCTATACATACTTATTCAAAAGCCTGCAACACTAATAGAAATCATATTTCATGTTTATCACAAACAATATCGCAATACTGTAGATTCGGCAACAAGTTATTGGTACTGTGCCTTACTGCGTCTATGTACCTAAAAGGTGCCTACAGGAGAGATGGGGGGCACTCTTTATCAGGGAGTGTAGTGATAGGACGAAGGGTAACAGTTTTAACCTGAAAGAGGGTAGATTGAGATGAGATATCAGGAAGACACTTTACTGTGAGGGTGGTGAGGCACTGGAACAGGTTGCCCAGGGAAGCTGTGGATGCACCATCCCTGGAGGTGTTCAAGGCCAGGCTGGATGAGGCTTTGAGCAACCTGGTGTCCCTGCCCATGGCAGGGGAGTTGGAACTCGATGATCTTTAATGTCCCTTCCAGCCCAAACCGTACTATGATTCTATGTCTTAAAACACACTTAGTGAAAACACGTAGTTAAGCTCCACAATAGTGGTGGTGTGGGGGGGTGGAGTTAACACACCTATTTCTAAAATAAGGCATCACTTGGCCATTTTCAGTACAAAAGTTATATTTCAGTGACATTTTCCTTTTTAAAGAGAGCTAGCACAAGAGCAAAGTTGTGCCTGCACGCACGCAAACCATGCGTGCTGTGTTTTGCAGATGCATTGCCAAATTCCTCCGCCTGGTGTCGTACAGAAGCACTAAACTCTCTGGAGCAGAAAGACGCAAGCGAGCTTTGTGGATCAATACTACGGATACTAGCAATATTGCAGCTCAGCACTATTTTGACGGTAGAAATTAATGTTTCTCTTACAGTCAGGCCTACATTCTCATCTCAGTGCACAAGGGCTTACAAGCCTCATCTAAAACCTGCTGAAGTGAAAAGTAATTGTTCCAATATATTTTAGATCAGTCCAATTATTAACACTTACAGTGTTAGGTATCAGCTTTTGTATTTTTCAGGATGAAAATAAAGCCCAAGTTACTGGTGAACTCTTTTGGAGTTCTTTGCATAACTCTTAAAATGCATTTCTGTGTAATTCTAAGCATGGAATGATGACCAGACCATGTACACATACCACACCGGCCTGTCAGCACTTGCACAAAGTCTTAGTTACTATCAGCCAAGCTAACTAACATCCCTGGCTGAAAAATAAGTCACACTGTTTCTGAGATATTTCTAAATGCTTAATTCACCAAACACAAGAAAAATACAGTCACTGTGCATTTTTTGTCTTTCTCTTCTCATATATGGTTACAAACTATGATGGCCAGAAAAAAATGGATGCAACAAACATAAAAATCTCCATTTATCTGAATGCAAAGTTATACGGACCATACTGTACATTCAAGTGCCTGTGGACAGTTACGTTCTGGAAAGTGAATTCCTGAACTTGGTGCCAACTTCCTGCCTGTCAGACAAGTTAAAGGTCGCAGCAGATATACTTCTAGGCTTTCCAAGGGCAAGAGAGTGTACACCATGTATTGTAAGTCCCAGCAGCCTAATTGTGGCTTTCAGGATTGGCTTTCCTCACTAATATGAATCTTCTCCCTACAGTGAGTCTTAATTCTTGTATACTGTTTTTTGTTTAGTGTGCACTTTGTTCCACCTTGCTGAACAGGATATTCTCTCTAGGCATTTCTTCATCTGGCATATCTTAATGCAGAACAGATTTAGAGGTTCAAATGAGTACTGTACAGGAACTTTGAGCAATATTTTCAGTTTAAAATAATTTATCCAGCTTTCACATAAACAGTAAATACACTTTTTTTGATACTGCCCGATCTAAAAGGTGAACTTTTTACAAAAATTGGCATGAAAACCATGTCAGGAAGTTTTTCAAAACAAACCAAATATTTCCAAGAATGAGGTGCCTCCAATAAAAACATTTTGCTAAACTCAAATGTTGCAGTAGTGTCTGAGAAATGATTGGTGGCAATAGATGAGGCTTTCTTTCCACGTTAAAATTGCTATTTACTAACAGGCAGTTGCCTTTGACAAGGCAATTGCTTCTTGCCTTCATTGAAAAAGCTGCTCAAATAACTTAATGTCATTTTGGTCTCCCTCTTTCTGGCTGACCCCTTAGCAATACATCACATTGGTGTCCACGACGCAATCCCACATTTTGGAACAGCAGCGACTAGGGTGAGAAGAACACAGCTAAAATCACTCCCGCGCTGGGATTTTTCAGGTTTAGTTCAAAGTGCCCCAGTTTGGCTCTGGAGACACCCAAACCTCCGGCAAGCTCACTGGCTGGGGGAGACTGAGGAATGCACCCTGCTGACACCACTGGCCTGCCTCTGAGTCTGCCACCATCTGTTCTGAGAGAATTTCCAGCCTGCCTTCTGCCTCCTCCTCCTCAACATTCATGATAACGCTACCCCAAATACCCTTTCTGTCTTTCTTCCCCAGTTAATCCTGGACCTTTTTCTCACCATCCTCCACACATCTACAAAACACTCACTTGAGCCAGCAGGGTGCTACCCTGCTTTTTCATTCCCCTGTCTCCCTGGCAGGGACTTGGAACTGGCACTCTTTAGTTGAAATGCCAAAAAGAGCTCTGGCTTAAAGTAAATGGTCACACGATCTTGTTTATCTTGCCTCAACCACCTTGCGCGAGCCTGCTGTGACAGTGTGGAGTATGGCTCCTCTGGGACACCAAGCACACAGCAGGCTCAAGCAGCAAGCATATGCCTTAGTGGTGTTAAATCATAAATAAAACAGCAGCAGGCCAGGCACCTCCTCTGAGCGTAAAAGGCAGAAGCTTCCCTGTAACTCATTTAAGTCCTCTCTTCAGAGGCAAACCTCGCCATTAGACTCCTGAAATCTGCTTTACTTCAGAGAGTGCAGCTCTTCAACTGAGCTTAGAAATTAGACCAGCAGCACAGTCCCCTGCGGCAGAAATCTCCAGAACAGGCACAGCATGAAAAACATTGCCTGCCTGCCCACCTTAAGATTAATTTCCCCCAGTATTCACTGGCGTTCAGCACCACTGGCACTTGTGTGTTCAGCCTGTGGGGCAGGCGAGAACACAGCCATACCACCAATGTGTGAAGTGCTTGGGAAAAGGTTTGAAAAAGCCAAGGGGGAAAATTGGCATCCTATTCCTCTGCTGACATCAACCATTTTTAGCCTGCCTGTTGTGTTGGCCCTGAAACACTGTACCTTGCTGCTGTGATGCTGGTACTAGTGTAGATAACAAGAAAGAGCACAGCAGTCGCACGAAAATATCCACAAGCCTGAAATTGGGAGCATCAAATCTGTAAGTGCAAAGGTAAAAAGCAGTGACGGAAAAAGAGTGATCCACAAGAAGATCACCGAAAATTTGACTGTTCTCTAAGGTCCTGGGTAGCAACCTTCCCTTCACTGTCAAAACCACTTACCCAGCAAACTGAGGTCTGAAAACATATAGTAAGATTTTTACCACTGCCATCAAGCTTCCTCATGCATGAGTTTCATGAGTAGCTATTCACAGGCACAGCTATTTAGTGACACAGTCAGGTAGCTGTCTGATAGTCTGCTGTGAGCCAGTTAGGTAGCTGTTGTATACTCAAACTTTACATGACTGAAGACTAGTCTGGGACTCATTTTGCAAACAGGCAGATATTTAAGTTTCCAAGTTTTCTTAATTTGTGCATTTAAAGAAGAGAGTTGGCAAACAATAACACAAGATATATTAACCTGCAGAATGTTTCAGTTGTTGAAATTTTTGCACATTTTTCTAACATATCATCTTGGACTCAGGATTTGACTCTTCTGGTAAATGACGAAATTATGGCTTTCATGTATTGCAGTGAGAAATGCATTTATTTCATACACAGACACATCATCAACTTTAAAAAGACAGCTAGCACTATCATTACTTTCACAGAGAAAGTACATTTCCCTCCCCTCTTAATGTTCATATCTAACAAAACTTATTTTTCCCGTCAAAAGTATGGCTGTGTATATCTATAGGTGCACGTTCCATCTGAAGGAGTAGATTTTCTCTCCAGGCTCAGGGTGATTATGTGGCTGAGCACTAACTACTATTACTGATGATGTGGGGGAGAGCTGTGTGCATAGCATTCATCAGTGAAGACTAGACGTCCCTCTATGGCATCCCTCTTCCCCTCCCTCTCCCTTGACACTGTAACTGTCAGTTTTCCTGAGACCGTGAAGCAGGGGCTTAGCTGTGCTTCACAAACTCTGGCAGCTCCATTCCTGTGTGCAGAGTAAGCTCTCCAGCCTTCTCCAGGGCAAAAGCCGGGTGAGCAGCATCAGTGAATTTGTGCCTGATGGTGAACAGCACCAGTCCTCTCTCTGCATTGAAGAACAACAGTCTGCCGCCACTGTAATCTAACAGGATGCCTATCCTGGACAGGTGTTCTGTCACGTGGACATCACTCATCACACCAGTGTGAAAAAATCTGTAAAGAAAGCTGTGGGAGAATGGAAACCAGAATACAGTGAGCCTCCTCATAGCGATTTACCAGAAATAACCTATGGCTTAATCCCCACCTTTAACAGGTGGCCATGTACAGCAGCATATCATGAGGCAACAGCATTTAGCTCAGTGCATAGACAAAGCAAATGTGGCATTGCTTCAAAGCCCTGCCTGGTGTGCCGTTTCACTTGGCATCTTTGAACTCTCAGGATAAAGCAGACTTGCTGTAATCATATTCATCTGTATCTTTCTCATTTCATGTCTTTGTAGGGATTTAAGCATGAGCTCTGCTTTGGCAAAACCCTTTTCATCTCAGATATTTCATTATGTTCACACATCTACAGGATTTCACACTGAAAAAAGCACACTTGTTTAGATCAAGAGCACCTTTACACCATTAACAGGGTTATGCTTTACAAACCTCCAAGCAGCCTGGCATTGGCCTGCTGAAGCACCCTGCAGTCCTGCCACAGTGGCAGGTGGGTGACTATCACTCTAAACAACAAGGCAGGAGAAGGCATTCCCTAGAGAGGCTTGATATCTGCTGCAGATGGAAACAGATTCTAAAAAGACTGCATTTATGAAAAGAAATACACTTGCTCGGGTGTAATGAAGCAGTTCAGTATATGAGCCTGGAATGACAAGGCAGCGGCAAATTAGTTTTATTCATTGGCTGGGTGAAGGGCAGTAACCTGGTCTGTTTGAGATTAATTTTGGTTTTTAAGGTGCTTTATAGGATTTTTTTTTAATTAAGAGGAGGTCTAAAGCTCCTTTGTAGTTGTGTTTTTCTTATTGCTCAAATTTACAGAAAGAAAGCAGATGGATCCTTTCTGCTCTTGTGATTCTTGAAGCTGGCTAGCTTTATTTACATGAAAGACAAGTAACTTTCCAAGCAACTAGACTGACCCAGCTTTACCTGGTTTGTGTAGGACAGCACCGCATGCACCAGGAGGTATCACTCAGCCCCAGGACATTGCTCCATGGTATTGTCTCGTAGCAAATCCCAATCCTGTAGCTTCTGCAGGCAGAGACAACAATTTCCCAGTAATGACATCCCCGAGCTGGCAGCAGCTCACCCAGGACTGAAGGAAACCTGTTTGTGGAAGAGACGTGCAGTGAAGTGAGTGTGGTGGTAAAGCAACCATATTGTGATATTTCTTGCAGTCACATCATGCTGCAGCATCTAAAACTACTAAAGAATTGCACTCTGTTTTTCTAAGTGCAGCGTTTTATCAAAGATTTGAATGTTGTCACAGAGAGTCATTTCTGAGATGGACTCATCTTAAGTATTGAAAACCATGCAACCTTACTCAAAATTATATGAAGCTAGCAAAAGGTAGAAAAAGTGACTCTGGAGGCAAAAAATGTACCTCAAATTTAGAAGGCCTGTTCAAACTAGAAAGTATGGCTGTTAAGTAGACACACTGACAAACATCTTGTGTGCGTTCAGCTGTAACAGTAAAAAAAAGTGCTTAAACCTGCAATACCTTACCTTTTAAGAAACCAAATCAGTACGGCACAACTTATACAAGTAGATCTGTGCTTGTGATGGGACTGACATCAGTATGTAAAAAAAAAAAATAAACAAAGTTTGCAATGGATGGAAGTAGCCTGGTACAAGTGTTCTACACATATCCCAGGAGCACCTCCTAGTTCTCCAAAGCCACAGATGCTTTGGAAAACATTACCAATAATGCCCTCAGTAGAGAAGCAAAGTATGGAAGATGGATTACTTCTAGCCAGAATATATTAAAAAATAATCCCACAAATCTGGCCTTCTCAGGGCAGCAACAAATTGCTTTGAGACTGAAGTGCTCTGAAGGATTAAGCAGTGACCACGGACTGAGGCAAAGCTAGCAGTCCCAGTAGGTACCACTGCCTTTGACTTTCTGGCTGTTCCAGAGTGCAACACTGAACTCTTCCCAGCACCTACGTCAATGATGCTACTGGCTTTATTAAGATAATGCAGTGCTTGAAAGGGGAGCCAGTCACACAAAGTCCATGGGCTGCGTGACTGAAACAATTCAGTTCTTCCATGAAACTAGTTAGTGTCATGTGAAAGCTACCTACAGGCCAAAATAAGAGCGAGGGACCCATCCTGAACACTGTAGAGTGGTCATGCTCATCATGCTGCTACTCACCCAGTGAATTTGGTTTTCTCAGGAAGATGGATCACCGTTGCATTGGAGGAGATTTGCAAAGCGGGATGAGCTGTGTCGCTTAGTAGGCGAAATCGAGTTCCTGGTAAAATTCATGACAAAAAACAGCAGTTCTGAGAGGCTGGCAATATTAACATGAGATGAATCATAAAATGTAAAGCAACAATTACTGCCATCTTAGCTGGATAAAGTTGTGTCTGCTGGCAGGTAGGAGTGACAGAAAATCGGGTGCGAATGCAAAAAGTCTTCCAAGCTGTGTCCCGTTGCGATGGCAGTCTAATGTTCAGAAAAGTAGCTAGGTGATAAGTCTTCAGCATTTAAGAAGGTTGAATAATTTTCAACCAATTGTTTTTTCAAAATAGCAAATTTGAATTTTGAGGCTGGTTTGGAAGAACTATATATGACTTAACACTATTTATCTGGAAACCTTAAAGTTCAATCATCCATTACATTTTAAAACTGCCTTACATGCTTCCTCACACCTGAAAGCCGAACTCCGTAAGGTTTTATTTGTGAGGGGTTTTTTAAGATCAGGGCATCTTTTGTCAGAATGCACTCTGCCAAACTCAAGCAAACTGAGATCCCTGAAGAATATTTAATAATTTTCTATCTCTGGTGAATTCAATGTTTTTGCTTCTGAGGTCACATCAGTTTTACGCTGACACAAATATACAAACTTGAAGTGAAGCAGTCCCTGACTGTGCTAACTTTAAGCAGGTAAAATACAGTCCCTTTTATCTCAATAACTTGCTCACTCCCTTATCGGAAATTTTGGGTATGATTTCCAGAGGAAAATGCCATCTTTGGCTGCTTTGCCCCTCCGTCCCATTGTTTCAACATCAGAAAATGGTGATCTACCTTTAGTTGAGATGAGAGCTGCTTCACTTTGTTCACTTGTCCCAAATGGGTTGACAGCCCTCAAGTAGAAGAAATAGTTCACATTGGGCTCCAGGGATACTTTCAGTTCAGATTTCTTTATACCAGCAAAAGATCTGCAAATTTTGAAGATTTTCAAACATTAAAATGTATGCAGATACCCAAACCAGTAAAAACTAATTTATGTGAACATCTAAGCCACCTAACAGTATTGTTTACTACCAAAACAACAGGCACAGTAGAGAAACTGCAAATTGGAAAGGCAAACAGTGTTTTCAGAAACAACTGGATTATGTAGGAGCTTTGGCATTTTACTTGAGGGATCCTCCTTACTTTGACAAATTTTCAGGCCGTTCTTCCTGTACCACCTTCTCACTCAGTGCAGTCATTTGGTGTAATGCTCACTTCATGTTCATTTTCCAGCGTAACTCATCAAATAAAATGCAAGGAGCATGGAATCAAATTCTCAACTGCCTCCTGTGAAAAGTCTGCTTTACAAAATGAACAAGCTTCTGAAGAAAAAAAAAAACTCTTTCAATTAATTGCATGGCAATGAACACACATGTGTTTGCACTGTCTGGGTACATGCTCCAGATCCAAAAGAATGGATACTCTTATCTGAGACTGCACAAAAACCATGCACTTCTTATTATGAACTCCTTGCTCACAAATTGTTCATCAACAAAGTCTTGGCTCTGTGTCCCTCACGGTACCATGCAGTCTAACAGGCTGGTTTTGCAAGAACCAGCAGCAGGGGAACTGCCTTTGCACAGTGCCCTGTTTTGAGTCTCCCCTCTGTGGTGCCTCAAAGGCTTCAGCCCTCGCATCCTCAGCTGCTGATGTCTTGTCACACTGCCAGAAAGCAAGAGTCAGCACCCACTCAATCTGCTTCACAGGCACTTTGAAATGCCAGTGAAAGTAATTTGGATGGCTAGAAGTACACCAATTTTATTTTCTATATTGTCAGGAGTATGAAAGATTGGCTTAACAAATTCTCTTACACTGTATCCTGGTTTTCCTCATTTTTGCCTCATATGATAATGGCAAATCCAGACAGTATATACCCATTGCATTTTATGCCTGCAGATTAAGACTGTTTATCTGTATAACGTAGATAATTTCCTCCCAGAAATACTTATGGGAATCTTCAAGGCAAGTATTTAAATTCACAAACAGGAAACGTGCCTTTGGAGAGCATGCAAGACATTTTGCCTTCCACCTCAGGTTTTGAGAGTGGAGCCCAGGACAGTCTCCATCCTGCAGGTCATGTCTCTATGGGAAGCTAGATTAAACAAATTACCTTTTCCAGCACTAATTAACTGTGATCCCAGAGGAGGCAAGGCAGGCAAGTTAGCAGTTGGATCAGATGGTTGCTACTCATTTGTAGTGACTGTTTTTACATGTATGTCCCAGCAGAGAGCAGTACAAGCTGAGGAATAATCCATGCTCATCCATCAGGATTTTTCATGTTTGCCTCTGCTGCATTTATCACATAAAGGTAAAATCCCACAGCCCTTCACACACCAAATTCCTGCTAACACCACATAGAGCTCTGTGTCTCTGTGGATGGCATCCTGGGGAAAGACTGGTGCATCATCTGTCTGTAACAGGTATTTTGCACTGACAGCTGTCATTAAAAGTTATTGAAAGCTTTGAGAAAAAAGCACTAGGTGATCCTGTGATCTGTTTTTTTCAATGTGAAAGAATTTCAGAAAGTGTGGGGCTCTTGCGTGATCAGTGCAGGGCCACTCTGCCTTTGGGGGAACGTGTTACATTAATGTTGGAACTGATGCAGTAAACAGAAGTGGGTTGCCCAAACACAGTAGTAGTCACACGGTTTGCTTCACCCCCATAACTAACCAAAGCCCTGACCACGAGAGCACTCCAGCAAGGCACTGGGACTTTGGCAGGCTGGTTGGTTCTGACTGAAATGTTCAGGGAAGAGGTGCAACCTGGTAAGTTGCCCGATGAGAACCTGAGCTCTTTAGACTTGAAATAGGAAAAAGGCTTGTCTGAGTATAGGGGACAAGAGAAAAAAAAAAGATGAGTCAAAAAAAAATACAAGATGGGAACTGAGCAAGCAGGCAAATATAAAGGGAGTGACAGAAAGGAAAACTGGGATGGAAGCAGGGGTAGGGGAAATGAAGTGGGCAACTAAGCTTTGAAGAAATTTGTCCATGCTTCCTAGACAATCTGTTCCTTGAAAGCACCAGCCTGATATCTTTGATGTGAATCTGAAGTACAGGCCACCAGAAAGAAGTTTTGACAAAATATTTACAAGTAAGATGAAGGGAGGATTCACTAAACTATTTGTCAGAAGCTGTTTGTGGCAACATGTAGATCAACATGTCTTAAGCACAGTGATGCCCTCTATATGGCTCCTTCTGCCTTCTGGAAAATGCCATGTAAGTCACTATCCTTCAAAAAAAAAATAGGAGATATTTTCTTTCACTATGTGCTATTTAGCTGATGATTAGTTAATAAAACATTAAATTGTTTCTAAATCCAAGTAGACAGGAACATTCTGGTGTAATGAGTAGACCTGAGGTATTCATATTCTGGAGTTTGGATCCCAGAGCCTAGATATTCAGAGAAGATTTTGGGTCCAGCCAATTGCAGAATAGGGTCATCTATCAGGTTCAGACTTGAGTCTCTTTCAAATCTGAAATTCCAAATCAGAATTTGGTTGCATGTTTAAATCTGAGAGCAATACCATGCCTCTATTTGGTTGTAATAGTGAGGCAGAAAAGTCTGGACTTTAAGCAGATGTGGTCAGTAAAACAGTGACCAGATTTTCTAATAGCATTCTCTGCTTAGTAATCTATTTTAGCCAGCTTTAAGCTGTCTAAGAATAAGAGCCCATCAATCTAAACTATGATTAAGGCTTAAAAAACAGTCCTGCTGCTGCCAACTAATGAAACAGAATATGGTAACAAGAAGGAATTTCATTTGCAAAACTCTGAGCCAGGTCCAAGCTCACAAGAGGTTACATGCAAAGATGAAATAGGTCTTGCCATTGCCTCTCCTTCTGTCTAGAGGATCTGGTGAATGGGGAAAGTGAATACTGAGGGCTCCCCAGCAATCACTGTAGTTTGTCATGCTTTAAGTTGACCCTGCAATCAGTGATAAAAAAAACAAGGATGACAAGAAGGTATGATTACTGCTTAGCTTACAGCATACAGGTCATTCACAGAAAAAGGAAAGGGAAAATGCATCCTGACTGTGTTGGGGGAAGCCTGTTTCATTTCCGAGTTATTGTAACAAGCATTGCAGCTAGATCTTCCTCAAACTCACTTTAAGTATTGAACTGTGTAATTTTGGTCATGAAAGAAAGAGAAATCCACCTACAACATTTTAAATGTCAGCTATTTTCTACTTTAAATACACCTGCTCACTTTATACATGATTGGAAAAGTAATAACGTTATTATCAAAGCACGAAGCATCCTGGCCTTTAGCCTAAATGTTATTATAGTTGCACTGTCCCCACAACGTCTTGATATCATGATGCAAAATTCAGTGCATAGACATTCAAGAAACAACTGAAGTTGTTTAAGTATCTCCTCTTAATCCCCCTCTTTATAAGATGAATCTTAAGTCTCAAAATTCAGCCTCCAAATTTCAGGTACATCCTATTCAAAGCAGAACAGAAAGGAGTTACGTGTTTCTTCACCTTTAAATTGCCAGGGAATATTATAGTAGCAGTTGTCTGTTAGATTTTTGATTTCCCTGGTTTTAGGGAAACCTTATGCTGTGTTTTGATGCATGTATCCTCCAATAAGCATCCTCATTTATTTCAGGGAAACAACATCTAGAAGCTATTTTTTAATATTGCATGAATCCAGCAAATAATATGCCTCGCAGTGATTCAGAACACCCTCAGTGCCGTAATTGTCATTTCCACCCCCAAGATCCCACTGAAACAGCAGCTCCAGACCTGTGCTGGTACCACCAATGTGGAGCTAGAGCTGAAAGTATGCAAGCTTCTCAAGATATGTGTAGAAGCACACAGAAGGGGTGAACCAGGAGGGTAAAAAAAGCTATTGAAGATAAAAATAAAGAACGAATAGCTCTGAGCTTGCTCCCAGCTGTGCCACATACTTCCTTTCCTCTCCTCTGTCCCAGCTCCTGCTGTTTTGGTGTTAGATCACCAAAGCACCACCTGCAATGGTCCTCGCTGCTGTCTGAGACAGCAAGTGCAGCACAGCCAGAGGGGAGGAAGATTCTCTATTTTCCACACCTTGTTTCCTGAGCTGGCAGGACAGTCATGTGGGCAATGTGACTTCCTCTCCTTTTTCCAGTATTAGACCTGTTCTATAAGTAGACAGAAAATTTTGGTCACTAGCAGCGCTGGTCTCACATTGGCGGAGAGGATGACACTCAGTCACTTCCACTTTTACCAACTCACCACATACTGTACAAATTTCTGCCTCCCTGAGTCTTAAAGATTTCTCATTATGTGATACATGGTTTTCATCTGAACAGCCCACACACCTAATCCCTGGACTGCATTTCTCACCATTTTCCATCTTCCACCCACAGCTCCATTGACTTCTCAACACAAAGAGGCTGAACGGCGAGAAAACAGCAGAGCTCTGGAAACTGACAGAAACACATTTCAAAGCCTCATAGAGATTCTGGAAAAAGAATCAACCCAGGAAGGTGCTCCAAAACCACAGTAGCAGCCAGGGGCTCGCTGCAGAAGATTTAAGATGGTTTTATTTGAAACCATATCCCTCAGGTGGCAAACTGGGAAGGAAAGAGAACCCAGAGGGGAAAACAGAGATTTTTTTTTAGCATATTTAGAAGGAAACTTTTAATGAGGATTTATTTCCAGATGTGATTCAAATTCTTTCCCTGGGGAGTTGGGACTGCTCCAGGACTGCTTCAAGGACCTCCAGGGCAACTGTCTCCAGGCGGCCCTGCTTGAGCAGAAGTGTTGCACCAGAGGACCTCCAAAGGCCCCTTCCATTAATTAATGCTCAACCATCCTGTGATTCTGTGATACACTGAAGGCTACCAGGGGCCAGCCCAGACCAGTGGCTCCACACTCTTCACCAGCAATTTGATGGGCGCACCTCTCCCTGCCTACCACCTTGGTGGTGTCCCTTGCCTTGGGTAAGCTCATGGAGCAACATCTGTGAAAGCAACCTTGTGGGATGGGACCACGCTGCTTTCTCCAAGACTTCCCTAGGATATCCTTCCCCGGTCTCTCCTTTCACACTATGCCCCCGACATCAGCTGTATGAACTTTCCAGGGTTGCTGAGGAATGTGTTTGAACTCCCACCCAGGGACTGGGAAATGGTCCAGCTTCTGGGCTGCTGCAAGAACAAGAGGTACAGGCTGTCTGTCAAAGGGGTCCACATTTGGCAGGTCCCCAAGATGAGTGTTGCTCAGGAAACCTGTGAAGAACGAACTCCAAGCTTTCAAGGAAAGCAATCAGAAGAAACTACAGCATTCCCAGGCCCCAATGCTAAGTGTGCATAAAAACACAGTTTTATTCCACCTGCTATAGGTACTTGACATAGGAACTCTAAGCTCCCTACAGGTACTTCCAGAAGGCAGCTTCTTACTGATATAAGCTGATATTCTTCTTAGCTGATATAAGCTACATACGGAATTGACTTCTAGTCCTAACTTGCACCTTGGGGGCCTTGGATGAGAGCAATACAGGCAGTATTCTCCATCTACCAGTGGGTTCTTTTTTCCTTGGCTTTATACAAAAAAAAATTAAATAGAAATCTTAAAAAAAATTCTCCAGCACTGAAACATCTTGTGCCATTACAGAAGCTTTTCAGGTTAACCTCAGAGGGAAAAAGGGGCACTGCTCTGAGGGAAAATAAGTGGTGAGAGATGGTGTTTGACACTGTAAAAAGAGGTCAGACCCCCTTCTTTTAATAAAGAAATTTAAACTACAGTAATTCTGAGAAAATTCATTATTTTGTCCTGTGGGAATTTCTCATACTTGTTACATTAAAAGGCCACCTTTTGCCCACAGGAAGGCCAAAAAGTCAAATGTCACTCATTATATTTATAAACATGATAGATTTTGCACAAGGTCACTTGAGAAGGGGAATGGGTCAGTTCCAGCACCTTTTGCGACAGTTATCACCACACAAGCGAACTGCTTGGTGTTATCAACACCTCACTCACAGATTGCAGAAACCAGCACACTTTCTGTTTCAGTTTTGAGAAAAAGAGGCAATTCCAGTTAACAGCAAAGAAACTCCAGGGCAAACACACAGCACAGGTTTTGGGAGCAGCAACATTATCCCTGACCAACAGCAACTTTGTCAGGTTGATGGGACCTGATGGCCTCACGACATATGTATGAAACTGAGCAGGTCGAGGATGCCCTCCAAGAGGCAGGAGAGCTGGGCAAGACCTCTCCCTGATTGCATTAATGCAGCATGGTGGTACTGTGTGAAAAAAAGTTCTCCCAACCCCACAGAAGTTTTTATTTCAATTTTTAGCGTACTTTTGTAAGGAGCAAGGTGCACACAATTTAACTGTCGCACTTGTCTACTAGAAACCTGTTAATACTTCAGTCCACTTAAATAATTCTGACTGGGGGTAGAGCTCTGCCCTCTCTGCCACATCTCCATGAAGTCCAAGTGAACTAGCCCCCAGGTGAAGAGCCTACCCAGGCTTCTTGGGAGGTGAAGAAGACAAATTCAGGTGGGCTAAGGCTCTTCCACAGGGTCCCAGATGGCAAGTGCCCCCCCCTACCCCTCCAAAAGCTTGTCAGAGTTTTGCAACTGTATTTTGCTGGAATATGGTTGTCATTTTAAAAAAAAAAAAAACAAAACCCAAACAAACATGCAAAACCCCCAAGCCCCAATGACATACAGAGCACCACATAATTTTCCCTGCGTTTCAACACAGTGCATGGTTTCACAGCTCAGTGGAGCCTCTGTCCCTCCTCACCCTCTCCTCTATGCAGCACAGACTTAGCATAGGGGAAACCAGAGAGGGTCTGGCATAAGCAGACACCACCCCCAATTTCGAAGCTGCTCTTTGACCTCTGTGGCATGCCTGCACAGCTGGGCAGCACTGAGCTCAGCTGTGCTTTGGGAAGGATCTGCCCATACATCCAGACAGTGCAGATGCGTCACCAGTATTACCAGGACACCCATATCACCCCTGCTATGCCCCAAGCCGGCTCCTGTCTTGTTCACCACAAAGCAGAGAGCAAACTGGGCCGGGCTCCTCACTGACACTCTGTCCCATGGAGCTCAGCTGCCCTGCCCTCCCCTAGACTGTGGCAGCTGTGGGGCAGCGACTGCTGCCCTGGCCAGCACAGCCCTGCAACTTCTGTTTGGCTGCAGACAGTGCGATATCTCCAGGGTTTTGGCCCCAAATGAAGCAGACTAACCAGTTAAGCAGAATAAAAAAGAAGTATTTTTATGTCTCAGCCTAATCTCATAGATTAGTGTCTGTCCTGTAAATTCCTCAGCACATAGAAGCAGATTTCTTCTTTGCACCGTTGAAGGCAGAATAATCTCTTGCGTAATGACCCGCAGTCTGGGGGACGCTCATTAGCAGCTGTCTAATCCGACCGAGCAACACTTGTGACCATGGCACTGACCTGAGACCCTCTCCTTCTGGCGAGTGCTGTCGGCAGTACTCCAGGGTGAAGGACTCCGCTGGCAATGAGCTGGCACACCAGCGGACGGTGGCTGTGTCCCAACACACTGTGCAGTCCTCAGCCTTGATGGTGGGGATGGAGGGTGCTGGGGACACAGGGACACGTTAGCTGTACCATGAGGAGGGCACTAGTGGCTGGGGGAGAATGCTCGCAAGGGAGAGGAAGAGTCACCTCCCAGAAAGCCACAGGACAGTTAGTTTTGCCCATGCAGCAGTGATCCTTTGCTTGTTTGTTTCAACGGCAGAGGGACACATTATGGGGAAAAACTCCGCCCTGGGAAAGTCACTGTGAACATTTGTGCATTTCGGCACAAATACGCCCATGTAGATTTTTATGCCTTTCCTCGGGTATATTTTCCTCATTTCTGTCAATCTTCAAAAAGCAGAGCATCAAGGCAGTGATGCCTACAACTCTCCCCGAATCACCTCAATCCTATCATCAGCAGTCACTGCATGAACTGCATCAGAAACAAATGTGCTGCTGCAGAAGTGACAAGGAGAGATGACAAATTTCTGCTTAATTATGTCCTGTTTATTTTTGCAATGCTAAAATTTGGTCCTGTAATTTATCTTTTTTAGAGCCTCAGCTTAAGAACTACAGGTCCAACTGCAAGAAAGAAAATTTAACATAAAATACTGCACTGAATGCAAGGAATCAAAAGCTATTGTGTGAAACTGCACATCCAGCATCATAGGCTGAAAATGGATTAGTTGTATTCACTTGCTTTTTCCCTTTCCAGGGAATAGTAACATAAACAAATCTTACAAAGTGGTGTTGAAACTCATATAAACAGTCTTAATAGCAATCCTTAAAAGAGAGGTTATTAATTTTATAAAAGCCATAGAAAGTTTTTCCTCTTTTAAAGAGATACAAATAGGAGGCCTAAGACAGAAATAGAAATTAGTTTTATGACAAGATAATTTTATAGAACTGCAACAAGCATTCCAGATGCATTCTGTTTTGTATGAAAAATAATTTGTTATGAGTAGAAAAAGAAAAACACCCACAAGTACATATCAATTTTGTGGTTTAGTGACAATCAGGAGGTTAGCAGTTCAGGTTAAGCTGTACTTGATGTTTTACTACAGGAACAGCTAATCTAGGTATTCAGCAGAACAATGATTCTGTGAGATAGATTCTTATCTGGTAATACATCTGTGTAGCTCCCTTAGCAATAATCCCTGAATTCTCTTCTGACATATTTGATTATTGTCTGTTTTTAAATGCATCTGTTTCTGAAGGATGAAAAATAATAGCTAAATCCCCTAACACCTGCATTCAGCTACTGTCACATATATCCACACTTACATATATGTAATCAGTATGTCACAAGGCATCAAGCTTTTTTTTTTTTAATTTGAAATTATCTGTCTAAAGAGTAGATGGAGTCAGCATATCAGAAAAAGTTGTTACTGTACTTCTGATATTTTTTTAACAAATTAACTGCAGTTAGAATATCTACCTGATTTCCTCCTAACATTCCAGCACTCATGTAAGCGACCTTATAAGAGGCAAAGAGACAAAAAGGGTAAGTTCTTACTCAGTCCCTCAGATACAGGGTGAGAATCACGTAGGTTTTGAACAACAGAAGAAGCTGCATTCACTTCTTCAGGATTGCAAAGGGCCTTCATCTGGAGATCAGTTTGAGACAGACAGGGAGGAAGGGAGGGATACTTGCTGCATTCAGCATCACTCCCCCACTGTTTGGAAACTGTGCCCCCCAGGGGAGGGGAGGACAGGCTGTGAGTTTGGGATCTGGAAGAGCAGGAGACAGGAGGTCCTGGGGGGATGCTGCAGGAGCACCCACCTGCTTCCCCACAACTCCCCAGGCCCACTGCCACCTCCACAGATGCCATCCCAACAGGGAAACCTTGTGGGGGCTCCCAACACCCGGAAGAGGCACAGCTTTGATCCACTATTAATGCGTATGTTCCTGTAACTGCATATACCAGCAAATCATTAAGTGTCAACTTTTAATCTGAATTGCTAAAAATAAACTCTCTAAATGCTTGCTACCAAAGTAGCCAGTCTCACACTGAAGAACGGTTTTCCATTACTGGTGCTCATCTTTCCACCTTTGGTGTTAAGCGGATCAGCAGTTTTGCACCAGTCAGCGCTCAGCAGTGTCCTCACAAGTCCATCTGGGGCTCAGTGCACTCCAGAAGGAGTTCACCTCAGCTTGAGGGAAGGTATTTAATGAGCCCTTATTTGATCTAGTTTATTTATTTTCTTAAATAAACGGGCCAAAGGAAGTCATCAGAGACGTGAGGAAATTAACTTCTTCAGAAGGCTTCAGTTTTGGAAAAAAAAAAAATGGTGAGCCTGATGTCAAAAGGCAAAGACAGTTCTTAAAAATAGTGGGTTCAAAGAGGTGAGAACCCCCTTTAAAACTGTGATTTATTATCTAGTAATAACCCATTAGTATTTGACCATTTCACAGGAATTCTGCACCATGCTCACAATTACATCGTGAAGCCATAAAATTTGAATTCTGCTTTGTACTCTCTGGAAAATAATCTTTGCTAAAAATATGACTAGCAAATTGAATATCAAGGAGAATTATCAACAAATTTGAAGTCTAGTGGATTAAGCAAAAGGCTTGAAGCTGTGGTTGCTGCCAAGTGATTTCAACAATACATTCAGTGTCGTACAGAGTTATTTCATTATCAAATTCTTAAATACCCTTGTCTGTATTTTGTGACTGGAAGAACAGAATGATTGTTTTTATCCCATAGCACTAAAAAAATTGTCTGGCAAGACGGCCTTAGACACAAGATGCTTCACCTTGCCTATAATTCAAGAAGAAATAGTTTTGTCAAGACAAATTATTAAATAAATTAAAACTTACAAAAATTAATCTGTCAAATGAAGCTCATAAACAATACTTGTCTAATTACTCAATTTACACCATTTAAACAGCAGCAGAGACTCTCACCCACATTTGAGATTGTGTCACACTGAGCTAGACAGAGCATGTAACCTCAGTAAAGCAGACCTTCCCTTGAAAAGTTAATAATTCAAATCAATGCAATGTAGATGTATTTGGGAGAATGGCAGAGGCAAAAATGTAGCTGTTGCCTCCGTTTTCCACAAGAGAAACACGAGCAGCAGGGAGCAGCTGGGTGGCTTTCCCAGATCTTCCCCAGAGCACTGCAGTGCACCCAGAAGAGACACTCATAATGTTCTTGTCCCAGTGACCCAGTTACAAGGCCCAAGACTGGAAACACCTTCAAATCTGAATGCCTTCAAGTTACCTTCCAGGACCAATTATGCTGCTATCTTCTCTAAGTTGCCTGCTCTCTATCAGATGGGCTAAATGAAGCAGTTTCTTCTGTTTCAGTAACACTGTGGACTATAATTGGTCTAAGGACCTAAAACTTATAATAATCAAATGCCAAAATACATACATACCTGTTTTAAAAATGGATTTTTCACTGGGTAAGCTACAGCCTGTGCCATTCACAGCCATGACCCACACACTGTAACAGCGATCTGGCTCCAGGTCCTCCAAAATGCAGTGGCTCTCCTTCACTGTCACTCTGTACTCTTCCACCAAAGCTAGAAGGAACACACACACACACGGGACATCTTATTGATGTTTTGCACTGGTAGGGCCTACAATGGCACCTCTCAACTAACATGTAAAAATCAATCAATTAAAAAAAAAATCCAGAAAACGTTACTAGCCAGGATCTCCATGTTTTACTCTGAATCAGTTTTGACAGAAAGTTTCTGATGTGCCCTTGAGTTGAGTGCACTGAAACACCATTGATGGCAAGGGGAGATTATGGCCCTCAGTCCTACTGAGGACCAGACTGCAAATTTGGGACATACAATCAGCAGTTATTAGAATCGTAGCACTGTTTGGGTTGGAAAGGACCTTAAAGATCATCGAGTTCTAACTCCCCTGCCATGGGCAGGGACACCTCCCACTAGACCAGGTTGCTCAAAGCCTCATCCAGCCTGGCCTTGAACACCTCCAGGGATGGGGCATCCACAGCTTCCCTGGGCAACCTGTTCCAGTGCCTCACCACCCTCACAGTGAAAAATTGATTCCTAATATCTAATCTAAATCTACCCTCTTTCAGTTTAAAACCACTACCCCTTGTCCTGTCACTACACTCCCTGATAAAGAGTGCCTCCCCATCTCTCCTGTAGGCCCCCTTTAGGTACTGGAAGGCTGCTATTAATCTCCTCAGAGCCTTCTTTTCTCCAGGCTGAACAACCCCAACTCTCTCAGCCTGTCCTCATATGGGAGGTGCTCCAGCCCTCTGACCATCTTTGTGGCTCTCCTCTGCACTTGTTACAACAGGTCCTGACCTGTTGGATCTGGTTTCACCGCTTCATAATATAACATAACAATTTCCCATAATGGACTTCATAGCTCTTAGCTATAAATTAGCTATCACAAAAAGTTCTCAGCATCCTTTAGCATGCACTCACATGCACCCACATACACACATGCACTTGTCCAGAGCCCAGTTGCTTAATATGACTTTATGATCAGTCTGAATGTTTTAATGAGTAAGTATTTCAATCACCTTTTCTCAATTTCATGTTTAACTTTTGAAATATTTTAATGCCTTTTTGAAAAAAATCTTTGTCTACATGTGGAAATACTGATTATCTTTTCCTGTAATTTTTTTTAAATTAGGACATATTTATTTTTATGCAGGCCCCAAAAACCAAGTGACTCCCATCCCTTTGGGACCTCTATCTGCAGTCTCCGTGAGTACCCATGGGGCAACATGGACAAAACCTCTCTGATGGTCAAGCCACTTCATAAAAGAGCACCTCAACAGGGATGTTGCTGCTCCTCTGCAAACAACTGCCCTACGGTTTACAGACCATGATATTTATCTTGCATTTTGGGGGACGAAGGGGAGGAGAAGAAACGCCATCTACCTCATGCTTTCCTCCACCAATGCCCATCTTTAGTCCTAGGCATGATGTCTTCGCAGCCCCTCCTCTCTCTGTGTCCTAGGCCCTCCCCTGCAGCTTGGCCTTCTCTCTGCTGACCCCCAACCAGAGCAGAAAGGACTCCTGCCATCATGAAGTCAAGACCTTACGCACCGCCCGCATCTTTGCTGGCTTGCAGCTCCTCCATACAGTAGACCTGGAAGCACTCAATGGCATCCCCGTTGTTCACAGCCCAGTAGACAGCAATGGAGGTGCTGGTGGCTGAGTTTGGTTCCTGAGGTACGACAGTTGGTGTCTGTGGGACTGAGAGGAAATGTTCCCATTGTTATTCACGCTCCTGTATTTTCAGCCAAACTTGTTCATGAGGCAACCCGGTTGTTTATTTTCCCTCAGGTTGCTTATTTCCACAGAACAAGTACAGCAAGTACATGAAATACAGCATACAGGTGCAGTTTTAGAGCAATAGGTCCTCCTAAACTAGGAAAACAAAAAAAATAATTGCTCAGCATTGGAATCTGTCCATTTCCCTCACAGTCTAGACAAAATAAGATCCCGTCCTAGTACTGGGACTACCTGAACCCAGCACAAAAGGTCTGTCCAGCTCTTGAGGTCCTTCCCCATGGGGCAGGACCATCATGCACAGGAGTTATGGCATGGCTGTTCATTTCCGACCTCTAGCAGGGAGGCTCCCAGGGCTGGGGCAATCCTGGACAGGTAGAACTGTCATACAGCTCCAGGGATCCCTCTCCTTTCCCGAAGAGACCTGCTTCCTTCAGTCACAGGAAGAGGTCTCCAGCTCTACACTTTAGGCCACACATGCTGGTGAAACCCCAAGAGACTCATGATAACCTCAGGCCACCTCCTCAGACAGGCCAGAAGACCTTGGAGCAGGCTGCTTTGGGTGATGACCTTCTCCAAGACCTTGTCTTGCAGCACAGGCACCAGAGGAGAGGACACTCTTTAAGAGGATGACCATGAAATCAGACACTGAAAGCACATGTTTGTAGCAAACAGCATGGGATAGCTCATTGACAGGGAGAGGGAGCTTGCAGAAGAAGGCGGCTCCTCCAGAGACAGATGCATGTAGCTCATCCCAGAAAGGTGGGCAGGGGAAAGGACCTGCCACACCAGGAAGGCATTCGTGCTGTGTATCAAATCAACTGACACTGACAGCAGCAGCAATGTGCTTTAGGCAAAGGAAGGCTCTAATAGCACTGGGGAGCAAGAGGCTTTCTGCAGGCTTGGGTCCACCCCTGCCAAGAAGCATCCACTGTCCTACCACAGATGTGCAACTAGGTGCTCCTGCCTGGCACAGTCATTCTCTCAAAGACACAGCGGACAGAGAAACCTTGTTGTGCAGGTGAATCTGAGCTCTGCCAAAGCACCTGAACCCCATGGGACAACCAGGAGCATCCCTCACAAAGAGTGTTTCAAAGGCCTCCAAGGCTCCCCAGATTTCATATAAACTTTGTCTCCTGATCAGCACAGATCAATCCCTGATGAGATATTGTTCCCCTCTACGATTATGGCTTAAAAGACAGGGAGAGGAAAGAAAGAAGCAAAAAGCCCCAAAAGATGTTAATTGTTAAAGTGATTGCAGAGAACAAAAATACATGGTTCTATTTCTTCACCCAGTAAATTTCCACATTGCATGAATTCTCTCAGAATCTCAGCAGAAAGCTTTTGCTTTTTTTCAGTTATCTTCACAGTAATAGTGATGATCCCCTGTGGCATGAATAAGGCAAATGCAGATGCTGGCTGTTTCCTTATAATTTATACAGAAAGCTACCAGTACAGTAGGATTACATCTGCTTCCCATTGAAAAAAAATGTCCTTCTCATTGCTAAAAACAATCTGCATCTTGTCTTTTGAGTCTTCTAGAGTTCGTCAATTTAAAAAGTGATCATATTTAGGAAAATATTTCCTTTCAGTGGACCCAGTGGGGAAACCAGCTTTTTTCTTTTTTATGTGAAGTTGCCTAGAAACTGCTATTTATGATCACAGAAACCCCACAACTGCAAGATTTATTATTATGACAAATCTGAACAGAAGCTAGCTTAATGAATGAAACTTCTGGAAAAAAAAAGTTATAGATCAAAATTCAGTTCATTAACATTGAGAAACATTTTATTTGTGATTTCCTTTTGCATAACATGAAACAATCTTCTGAAAGGAAGTAATTTCAAAGCAAGAAGTTGAACTATTCTCTTCAGAAACAGTACATTTATGTGCTGGTCCCTTTTTAAATGAGTTTTAGTCAAAGAAATAAGATATTTGCACCACAAGTTTGACTGAATAATATTTTTCTACAGAAAGGCGTGATATTTTCCCATCAATTCAGTTTTCATTGAAGTATTGTGGTGTAAGGAAGTTTTCCTTCATGCTACCTAATCTTCAGAGCCACCAGGACAAAAAAAATAATAATGCCAAATATTTAATGGATATTTACCCTTTTCCAACGTAATGTGAAAGAACATTTATTTGGCTTTGGAAATAATATTTTTTCAATTTTTAAATTATTCCCACTCTTCTTCTGGCAGAGCCTGGGTTCCAATATGCTCAACGACATGCTGCAAGGGATTTTTATGCTTATGGATTTGTTAATGGGGGTGGCTTACATGAAAGTAGGAAGAATTTGAGGGAAAATGGCTTTTCATTAGTGGATACAGAAAATTTTGGAATGAAGGGCATTTTGAAGGAAAGAAGTTTCTGAAGTTGTGAAAATAAAGTTCTGTGAAATTGCTTGGTAAAAGACAATACTTTCTGAAGGAGAAATATATGGATTGGAGAAACATGGCAAATTCACATGTATTTCATCAAATGGCTTCAGTAAAAAAAAAATTCTGAGAGTGTCTGACATTTGCCTCCAGTACGTGATAAACGATGTACTCAAGGCATTCAATTCAAAATAAAGTTTCTTGTAGACATTTACGTCTATTTTCCTTCAGGAAGGGTGTAATCTTGAAAAAAAAAAAAAGAAGTATAATTTGTCTACTGCTCACCAAAGTAAAAAAATTCACACTAGCAACTGCAATACTTGGTAGTGGAATTGAAGAATGAAAACCAGATATTTTAGAAAAAGAAGGAGAAGAAAGTATAAAGGACGATGAGCTTTGAAGGTTGCTTGCTAGTGGACAGTCATCCATTTCTAGTTTGTCAAAGCAAACTGGTCTGGAGCCATTTGGTGTTCAGCAAACACAGTAGCTAATGCAAATCAAACCAAAAAGCAGATCTCAGTAGCTTAGAGAAAAACATGTTGGAGTGACTTGTGGAAAACAAAAAATACAGTATGACAAAATGGGTCTGTCCTCCTGGATGATCTTGCCAGTAGGTAGCAGGCCAGGAGGAAAGAATAGTTGCACCCATGGGACTGCAAGAGGAGGTTTAGGAACTAAACCAAGACACATAGCACAAATGCCCATCCAACTTTACCTGAGAAGCTTTAAATGCTGCAGGCAAATTCATATAAATCTGACAAGGCAGTTAAGGTCTCAGAGATATTCAGTTCCTCTAGGTCTAATAAAAGCAGTGGTGTGGAGAAGAAAGACAATCTCTTCATATTGACACTGCTGAGGTCACTCAGCTCTTATTACACACCAAGAGTCTATGTGAGACAGCACATCTCCAATGTCCCATTAGGCATCTGAAAATCCAGCCAGGAAACAAAGTACCTTAGAGAAGTAGATGCTGTAGTTCCAGTGCTCGGGGACCAAACATGTGAGAAAGAGGCATCGCCTGAAAAGCCAGAGAGTGACTACAACAGCAGTGGTGTGTGTGATGGTGAATGGGAGGTCACAAAGCATGACAGTGAGATGAAAGGTCCCTAAACAAACCTTCTTTTAAGAAAGAAAGATGGGAGTGAGACTGTGATATGAGGAAAATTAATCTACAAATTGGTGCTGACAGACTCTTCATTGACAGCTGTCCAAGTCCAGATAATTTCTGCAGGTGTTTGTACAGGCAGAGCAGAAAGCTCACACAGGCAGGCTTTCTACAGGACATGAAATATCAGATGGAGGTGAATAAAACCCTTTATCATGTGCACTTTTCACTGCTGTCCTCCAAAGCAGAGGCTGCTTCAAGCTACAGTTAACCATTTCCCTTCACCTCCCGTGGGGTTTTCAGGTGTCTCCGATCACCTGGCACAAGCCCAGGGACCCCAGCCACCATTCAGCCTCCTGCTCTCCTCCCCACACGAGCGACACTGAGGCTGTCCTCCTTAGAAGAAGAGAGCTCAGGAGACCCTTTGATTGCCTCCTCTGTCCCTACCTGTAAAGGAACAGCAAATTCTTTAGCCCCGGGATATTTACAGATAGAGACCACCTGCTAGTCTGAGGTACAGATATCTGAAATGATGCAAGAATCCCCCACTTAGCACTTTTCCCTCTGTTGCTCATCTTAGTGTCCTACTATAAGCCAAACACTTGTGCACAATTAGACTTCATTTTACATTCAACTCTGATTGCTAATTACATGGTTTGCAAATTATACTTCTCAAATAGTTTCCCTTTTTAGCTTCCTAAAATTTCCAAAGCATTGCCAAAATGTTCGCTTTTGTGAAGACAATATTTAGAGATTCTTACCAGCCACGTGTTTTAAGGACTGCTGGTTACTTTGTCCTGGACTGTCAGCGTAGTGCTCAAACAGCGAAAAAGCACTGGGCATCTTTTCTAAAGAGAGGGTAGTATCCATTGCAGAAAGTAACCTATTTGGAAGAAAACACATAGCTGTCCATATAAAACACTTGTGGCATCACATAGTTTTCCAAAGGCCAAAAGCAAAGATCGTGTGACGTATATTTCTCTAAATGTTTCCCATGAACTTCAGGACAACATGCAAGGGGAAGCTGTTTCCCCAATTTTGAACATTTAAAGTATACTGCAGTTTCACATCAGGAGCACAGTGAGAGTACACATCGTCTGTAAACGTTTGACCTGTGAGAACACAAGGATTTGAAATTCACAGCAAGACTCCCAAGAGCACGGGGGTTTGGACTTACTAATGCAGTGCCTTTAAAGGTTACAAACCTTAGAACTAAACTACAGCAGCTGGCTCCAGAGACATAAGGTAAAGCAGCTGCCTGTGGCAAGCAAAAAAACCATGAGAAGGAAGATAGATTTCACTTAATTAGCCCATATTTGCTGAGTTCATTATAGCAAAAAAACCCAACATATTTTTAACTCTGAGGCAGAAGCAGCTTCAAGGAAATGAAAGATTATTTTTTTTAAGGCAACTGAATTTTACCTCTGTCCCCTTCTTTGTTTTAGTCAGTGAAGTAGTTAATTACGCATAATCTTAACAAAGCACAAAAAATATTCAGGTATTATGAAAGTAAAGTAATAACCAAACCCATGCACAAAACAGAATAAAGTTTAAGTTTACTGTGTGAGTAAATAAAGACCAAATATAGAGAAAGCATTGGAAAATTATTTTGTCCCATTATATCTGCTCTATTCTTACGCAAGAAGCTACATGCAGATACGTGGCCAGACTCTCACATTTTGACTTACAACAGGTGAGTCCAAATTTAGAGTCCAAATTCTGCAGATTAATGGGAACCATGAAGGGGTGTTTGGCACATTCTCTTCAAACCACTTTCCAGGGATTGTAATTTGACAGCAAACTGGAACCCTCATGTCATTGCTACACCCCAGTCCATGTCAGCACATGCATCACTGTGATGGCTGAGGCAGCACTGACAAAGGTTTGATATGTCCTGTGCAACAACTAGGCCCTTTGGGCAAAGTCAGTGGTGGTGGTGTGGACAAAGCAGGTTCAGGGGCTTCCATGGGAGCAGCCTGCAGCCAGCCTGTCTGAATATTGTAGTGCACCTTGGAAAATGTACTGGGAGAATACAGGCTTATAATCAAACACTTCTCTCAAAAAGGATGGGTCTTACCAAAATTACTCCCTTGAGGAAATCGCACATGGTAGAGAACTGTTTGTGATTCTGTTTACTGATATGTGCAGGCACGTCAGGATACAGCTGTGATGAGGCACCAGCCTTCCGACACATCCTGAATCAGGCACCGAAGAGGCATGGGAAAACATAAGCCCATAGTCTCCTGGTAAGACTTTGAAAGCTACCTAATCTCATTTTTTGCTGGAATTATGTTCAGAAATGTCGTCCAACAACACAGCCATGTGAGTGACGCTTTGGAACATAAGCTTTCAGAGACCAGGCAATACAGAACCAAACTAGTGAAAAAAGAATGTACCAATGACGTCTAAGAGATGGTAGCATGGTCAAAATGATTTTTAGTCTATGCGTATATAATAATAACTAAAAGGAACATCTATTTAAAAATCGGTGTAGAGATTTACAATTGAGCTGACATTTTAAAATGTTACTTGTTTAACCGATGTACTGCAGGAGACATGCAAAACACTTCAAAACTAGTCAGTTACAGCAACAAGTATGAAACCTCCTAATTTTGTTATTTGCAAGGCTTATAAAAGTAGCTATGAATACTAGCAACATGTTTTCAAAGCTTGCAAATACTAAATGAAGCATTCAGCATGCTAGGCTTAGTACTCACTACAGTGCACTTAACCCATCCTTCATATACCTTTTATTCAATTCTTTAGATGACTGGAGGAGGAAAAAAAGAAATGTATTAACAATTTTCAAAACCCTGAAAACATTGAAGAGCCACTCCTCTAACAGCCTTGCAACTCTCCACAGACATAAAATACACATGGCTTTATTGATTTGTCTGGGATGCTGCTCATTCACACAAGCAGAGAATTTGATTCCTTAAGAGTATTCCCCTTCAAAGCTCTGGCTCAGCAGGCTATTAGAGTCTAACTCTGGTTTTAAGCTTCTGAGGGGTCAGTATTCAATATCCAGGTTTAAAGTCCAGCGGACAGACAAACACTTTCTTAAACCAAGGCTTTTATATAAAGAAATCACCTGCACATTAAGAACATTTAAAGTCAAATTATGGCTGAAACCTCCTTCATAACTTCTTTTTACTAGAAGCTGGGTGAGATTTTTACTCATGGAGTGAGAGTTTCTCCCATGGTTCATGAATCTTCAGATAATGTTTCCTGGATCACGGACAGGAAAGTTCCTGTCCGCTATCACTAACAGAAAGGGGCAGAGAATCTAATAATTTTCCCACCCCACAAAAGAATTTCAGATTACAAAGTTATCTTTTTGCCAAAGCACTGGTCCAGTACCTCAGAAAGTTCAAGAAAATAAGATATATTTTTCATCCATCCTAAAACAGCCAATCTACCACAGCATTCGCTTGATTAAAGGATACTAAGACATTGAGTAACTTGGAGCAGGGGAGAAAGTGCTCCACCATTTCTGTAACAGCTGGTATATGGCCTGAGGGCTTGTACTGGGAAAGCTGTTTTATTTTCTATGCATGATAAGTCTTTAGACAGTAATTTGAACTTTTCATTTCTTGCATCCCAGGATAGTTTCTCTGCAGCTTCCAGACTAAATGCTAATTCTATAATTGGAGAAGATCATTGTCCCAGAAGTCCCATCCCCTTCAATACTGCTCATACACTTCTATAGTGGAGAAAGTGCCATGGCTCACTTATGGACAAGTCTTGCAGCACAAGAACAATCTTGGAGGACACAGGCCATTAACAATTAACCTGCAAGATCATCTGAAAACAGCTTACGCCTGACAACTGCATGAGCTAGGTAATGCCAGTCACGCAGATTCACAAGGGATGTTTTTTTACATCCAAAAAGGACCATTACAGACATGCACCTTGCATGCACATTCCTAAACTCAGCCCATTGTCATGGTTTAACCCTGGCAGGAGATAAGCACCACACAGCCACTCACAGTTTTTGAGCAGTAAACATTTATCACAGCCTCAGTAATTTCCGTTTATAACTACTGTTTGCTTCTGCTCATTCAAAAAAAAACCAAACAAAAAACCAAAACAAAATTTAAAAAACCAAAACAAAACCAAAAAACCAAACTACAACCCAACAACAACTTGCTTCCGGTTTGGACAATTTTCAATTATACTTTCTTGTTTCACCTTTATTTTTCATACAGTAAAGTATCTTTTACTCTAACATTTCTTACTCCTCAATGGGTAATTAATTCTAGATAAATTATCCAACTGTCTCTTAGCCTTCTCTTCACAAAATAAAATAGAACCATTTTAATGGTATGAGACATGTTTTCATCCTATGCACCATCTTTCCTATTCTCTCTGAGCATTCACCTGACAAAAGCAAATGATCTAGCAGTTTCAGACTGGAATAGCTGAGCTTGCAGGATTTAGCTAGCTTAAAAAAAAAAAAAAAGGAGGGTAAATAACTCATTCTTAGCCTAGGTACAGTATAAGTGCTTTCCTAACTAGCGTCATAAAGCTACGGCATGCAAACCATTTTTACTTACATTTAGGAAAACAAATCCATCAAGTTCTTCCATTTCTTTTACTGTTGTCTCCAGAGCTTCCTTTGCTGAATCAACAGTTTGCTGGAAGTTAACCATCTGCTCATACAGGTACTCCATTTTCATCTTCTTCACTTCCTCAAAGTTCTCTGATTTCTCATCATATTGTGCTACCATTTTCTTAAGCATCTCTTCATTTTGCTTTTCCAATAACTCTGCATTTTTCTTACAGTTTTCCTGCAAAATAAAATCAGATGTAAATTGATCTGCAGAATAAAATGACAACATTGAGAATTTCTATGTATTCATTAAATTACCCATACATGAACCATCCACCAGACTCCTTCTGGCATCCTGACAATAAGAGAACTTTGTTTCTCTAAGCAAGCTCATTTGGGAGAAATAACGCTAGATAAATACATAAAAAACTATGGCTTTTTTTTTTTTTTTACTGTTAGTGTTTAAAATTAACTTCTATAATTAAGCACTGAGATAGGAAGCCTGACTACAAAATAGCTAAAAATCCATACTTTCAACTGAAATTAATACAATCCTCAAAGCTTAAGAACTTGGGCATTAAGAACTTAGGACATTGGGCAACTCTCATAGACACTTCACACAGGATTCTAAATAAAGACACAAACAGTGTAAGCTTTTTATAAGCAAAAACAAAATTAAGGGAACTTTTTCCTCCAGTGCTTGACCATCATATATTCCACTTTGCAATAATGTGCAAAAAAAGTTATGTTTTTCTTCCCCTAAAGCTAACACCTTCCACTGGAAGCAGTCAGTTTGAGAACTGGAGAAACAGCCCGTTTTAGGGTAGCAAAGACGGTATGAAACCAAGCAAGCACATCTTAAAAGTAATTTTGTAGAGGGAAAAAAAATAATGTGATAAAACACTGGCCTTACCTCAACAGAGTTAAATAGTGATTCGATATCACTCATAAATGCTTCAATCTTCATTGACTTTTCTTCCAGTGCTATTAGCAATTCACTTAACTGATCCTGAAATTTAAAATGTTTCAGTAACATAAGCAAGTTATTTTATAAAGGTTTTACACACAACTTATTTTAGGTGAATATTTTTGTTCCACCATTGGAACAATTGCTAAATTAAGTTCAGCTATCACCCTGGCTAGAAAGACAAGCACAGAAATAGCACCTGGAACAGTCACAGAACTGTTTCCAAATCCAAAAAAGTGAGCTCATTTCAACAAGGTGCTGAGTGTCTATACAAATTGTTGACCATTATGAATTCCAGTCCAGCTTTGCTAGAGACTGAGGCTACTCAGAACCTCATAGGAGTTCTCAAGGGATTGCAGGAACAAGCCCATAAAAAGGAATATAGTGCAAATAATTATGAGGCTAATAGATTATGCAGAGTCATATTTTTTTTCTTAAGACTTTAAAAGATATTTCCTATAAACCAGAATTCATCAAAATCACAGGTTGCATTAGATGTGGAAACAAAAGCAGTCCAAGGGACAACAGGCATCACAGATGACTCAGAACTTTTTCTTAGTCCTTCTTGACCTTTTGTGAAAGCAAGCTGGCCATCCGCTCACGTGCAATTTATAAAAATACTTATTTTAATTAGCTGGCATAAATCTAAAAGGAAGGTTAACATCCTTTGATAACAGCTTCCTATTATGGCAAACTACTACACCTAGATGTGCTGAAAACTAGAATATGATTTTCCATTAATTAGAAATGTTACATTGTACAATTGAAAGCTCACTTTTTATTTAGGGCAAATCACTAAGACTTGGAGGCAAACTTCTGTTTGTCAGGATAACCTATAAAATCTGACAGATGCCATCCATAGCTCATATCATTTACTGTGAGCTATGTTCCTACAGTTAAAATTAAGGTGACAAACATTTTGATATCTTAATGTTTTCTCAGTAATTATACAGAAGTGACAAGAAACATACAAATGCCATCTCAGAGTAACCCGAGCTCTGAGTGCTAGAAATCATGTGAAGCCAAGCCTGTGTTGTAGCCAGATTTAATACTGGCTCAATGTTCATGCTCCACAGCCAGGGAGTGATATCATGGGATGTTTATTTGTGGCTTAACCAGACATGCTGCAATGCAGGTACATTTGAGGGATGGCTGGGGTCTGTGACTTTATTACTGCCTTACTGGTGGCTAATCATCACTTCTACACTTGCGTCCTGAGGGAACTGGAGGATGAAGTTGCCAAGTCATTAACCATCATATTTGAAAGGTCATGGCAGTTTGGTGAAGTTCCCACTGACTGGAAAAGGGGAAACAGAACCCCCATTTTCAAGAAGGGTAAAAAAGAAGACCCAGAGAACTACAGGCCAGTCAGTGTCACCTCTGCCTGGCAAGGTCATGGAGCAGATCCTCCTGAAGGATCTATTAAGGCACATGGAAAATGAAGGAGAGGTGATTGGTAGCCAGCATGGCTTCACCAAGGGGAAACTGTGCCTGACAAACCTGGTGGCCTTTTACGATGGAGGCCACATGGCATCAGTGGACAAAGGAAGAGCAACTGATCTCATCTACCTGGATTTGTGCAAAGCCTTTGACACTGTCCCACATGACATACTGGTGGCCAAATTGGAAACACATGGATTTGATGGATGGACCATGGCTGGATAAAGAATTGTCTGGATGGTTGCACTCAGAGTTGCGGTCAATGGCTAAATGTACAAATGGAGACTGGTGATGAGTGGTGTTCCTCAGGGATCGGTACTGGGACCGGTGCTATTTAACATCTTTGTCAGTGACAAGGACAGTGGGATTGAGCGCACTCTCAGCAAGTTTGCTGACAACACGAAGCTGTGTGGTGCAGTTAACGTGCTAGAGGGAAGGGATGCCATCCAGAGGGACCTGGACAGGCTTGAGAGGTTGGCCTGTGCCAACCTCATGAAGTCCAACAAAGCCAAGTGGAAGGTCCTGCACATGGGTCGAGGCAATCCCAAGCACCAATACAAGCTATGAGGAGAATGGCTTGAGAGCAGCTCTGAGGGGAAGGACTTGGGATATCGGTAGATGAAAAACTGAACATGGGCCAGCAGTGTGTGATTGCGGCCCACAGGGCCAACTGGATCCTGGGCTGGATCAAGAGAAGTGTGGCCAGCAGAATGAAGGAAGTGATTCTCTCCCTCTACTCTACTTTCATTAGACCCCACTTGCAGTACTGCATCCAGGTCTGGGCCTCCAGTGCAAGAAGGATGTGGAGATGTTGGAGCAGGTCCAGAGGAGGGCCACAAAGATGATCAGAGGGCTGCAACACCTTCCCTGTGAAGACAGGCTGAGAGAGCTGAGGTTGTTCAGCCTGGAGAAGAGAAGGCTCCAGAAGGACCTTTTAGCAGCCTTCCAGCACCTGAAGGGGGCCTACAAGAAAGCAGCGGAGGGACTTTTTACAAGGGCCTGTAGCAACAAGACAAGGGGCAATGGATTTTAACTGGAAAAGGGCAGATTTAGAGAGATATTGGGAAGAAATTGTTTACTGTGGGGATGGTAAGGCACTGGAACAGGTTGCCCACGGAAGCTGTGGATGCCCCATCCCTGGAAGTGTTCAAGGTCAGGTTGGATGAGGCTTTGAGCAACCTGGTCTAGCGGGAGGTGTCCCTGCCCATGGCAGGTGGGTTGGAACTCTATGATATCTAAAGGTCCCTTCCAACACAAACCATTCAATGATTCCGTGATTCTAAATCAAGCATGAATGGCCACGTATAAAAAGCAATTCCACTGTCATACATTGGCACACCATGGAGATAGTTTGTAAATATGGATATTTGAAACTGTCACATTGACTCCTTCCTACTTTTAATTTCTCTTTCTTGCATATGAGTTAATGTAAAGATAATGTAAATACCAATGATACAAGCCCTTCTGGAATTTTAATGAAATTCCACAAAATCTGTATTACCATCAACCAAATACATTGCAGGGAGGATACTTCACCTTTCAGATACTGGAGTGAGATTAAATAGCTGGTAACCAAGAAAGGAACATCTGTATACCTGTACGTGAACAAATCTGATATAGGAAAAGTGAGACATCACACTCTTGCTGTTTTCACAAGCAGAACTGCAACTTAATGAAAAATAGCATCCACAGAAACAAAAGCATTTTCAGTGGTATTGACCAAAGGACTCTGCTACTGAAATAGAGGGCATCTTTATCTATATTTTAGAGTGGCAGAGCTTAGAGATATTGGGAAGAAGTATGACTTGCTAAACCCTTACCTGCACTTACTGGCACAGACAAATACAAACTGAATAGAAAATGAGGATGGAGTTTCAACAACACTGTATAGTGTAAACTGTGTAAGTTGTCTATCATCTCTAAGCAACCAAGGCACGTATCTGGGACAGGGAACATTTTATGACGATACTGGTCCCCACATATGGAGGTTTCTGTACCTTGTCAAGTGAAAGAGCTGCTGTTACTAAAATTTTCTTTTCATAGGAACAACACTCTTCCCATTTCTCCCCCCACACATACAAACCAGAACAATCTTACACAGGTGAGAAGGTTAAAAGATGGGAAGTCTGACAACAGCTATGTATAAACTAGATCATTCAAACTTCTGAACAAATAAAAACATCAGCTTAGCAAGCATAGGACTCTAGAGAATACTGTAATAAGATAGTCTTCCTTCAAGATCTCTAACAGGTGTTTACGAATAGTTTTTATTTTATAGATACTGTGACATAGCCTCTGGACTGCTCTCTGAAGCTTCTCCCCTGACAACATAGGAGGTCTGGAGAAATTAGCCTCAGTAGCTCCTTCCCTCACCCAAATTAATTCTTACCTTCATCTTGGTTGCAGCATCATCTAGTGTTGTGACTTCATGGTCTTTATGTTCTCCAAAAAGCTTGTCAATAGCAGATATTGGGCATTTGCAGTGGTAACAATACGTGTCTGCTTGTGCTTTCTTTAGTTCTCTGTGTGGGCTCTCAACTTGAGGAATGTTTGTTGCTGATTTTTCAGGATACATCACCACAAAGCCTGAATCTTCAAGCTCAGCAGGTGTTCTTTGCTCTGGCTCATTAACAAATTCATAACTATCACCAGCATGCTCAAAAGAGTCCCTGTCATCAAATAATAGCTCTTCGTGTGTGAATTGAGATGATATGTCATCTTGCAAAAGTTCTTCTTGTGTAATGACATCATAGTCCATTGACTCAGGGAGATCCTCATAAACATCAGGGTGCCGCTCCTCTCTTTGGAGGTCTGGCTTCTCTGTTTGCTGAATGGTAGGGACACAGGAAAGATTTTCCTGAATATACTGATCATCTTCACTATCTTCAACAGGAGTCCTGACATATGGGACATATTTTTCCATTTGAGGAACTGCTGTTATGTCATGCTGTTCTTCTTGCTTATCAACTTCTTCATACACGTCTCTCTGATAATCGACTAGTTGACTATACGCTTGATGACTTGATTGCTCTGGCAACTCCTCAGTTGTTTCTACAGGTACATTTTCTTCTTCTCTTTGTTCAGTATCACTTCCTCCACCTGAAAGAACTACTTTGCTTCCAAAAGGAATAGCATGCATTGGTTTACAAATTGTTGCTTTAATGTCACTGTCAACCTGGACTTTCTCCCTCTCCACAACATCCCTTTCTGGCAGAACCTCAGTTCTGACACGCTGAACATCTCTAGATCCCTTCTTCTGCTTGTCTTCTGAACTTTGAATGGAAATTCCTCCACTAAAGGACTCATCCTCTGGTATCTGATACTTTTGAGGCCCTATGGCCTTACTTGGAATTTCATCTTTAAGAATGTATTTTTCAAAATATATTCCCGTTCCGTCATCTGTGTCTGAATTTCTACTAGAAATTAGAATTACCACTTTCCTCATCAGAGGGAGTCTCATCCTTTGTCTTCTCTCCTGCTGCTTCTGCATAGAGGTCCTTGTATAAAAATGACAGAGCAGGTGGCTCCTCTAGAAGCTCTGGATTAACTGCAGCAACAGTGGTGGGGAACAACAGAGAACGCTCTAGCACTCCTTCTTCTGAATCAAAAAGTGGGGTCCCTGGTGACTTCCGTTCATATTCTACATTTGTAACTTTTTTACTGCTAATATCAATTGATTTCTGCAGAGGTAAATGCTTTGGAGCATCTGCATAGGACTGAATTTTGCTTTCCCCTTTCACAGTACCATAAAAGACTTCATCCAAGTCCTCAAGTAAAGAAAACTCCTCTTCCAAAGTATCTACCTCAGCACTTTCTTTAGAAGATGTAGCTTCTTCCACAGGTTCGTTGGGATCTTCTGTCACAGGAAACAATGAACTTGGTCTTTCAAAATGTGGCTTAATTGGGGATTTGTCATCAATCAGTGTATATTTTTCAAAGTAATCCACATCAGCCATACCATTATTAGGATCCAACATTGCATTATTATTGTTTTCTGGCAACACAAGACCTTCTTGTTGTGTTTCTCTAGTTTCCTCAACATCATCATTTTTGACCAATTCCTTTAGTTCATGGCTTGCAGACTTACCCAACACTGAGCCTTCTGAAATTTCTGTGCTTGTTCTAGAAGCTAGGGCACTACGGCCATCATCAGCTAATTTTCTTTTAAATGAAGGATTTGTTTCCAAGTATTCTAGTTTATCTGGCATGTGCTTACTTTCTTCTTGATCAACAGAAGAAATATGTGTAGGGGCATGAATATTGAGTATTTCATAACCTTCTGAAATGATGTTAAATAGATCTTTTTGTTCAGTAGGCTCTGGAGCATGCTGAATATCTTCTACAGCACTCACATGCTCCAGTTCTTCCTCTTCTCCTCTCAGGTAATGTTCAGACATTTTGTCTACCTCTGGATGTTGCATTGCTTCCATTTTTGTAGGGTTTCCAATGCTAGTTTCACGGTCTGGAACTTTGTGTGGACCTGGATTATCTCCTTCCAGAGACAGTAAATCATACCTTTGTGCTCTGTAACTAGTGTCTGAGGACACTTTATGGGAAATTTCACTTGCCACTGAATCAGAAACTCTATACTCATGTCCTTTATTCTTTGTAGCACCATGAACTGTAAGTTCTGTGCAACTTCCAGCTGGGATTTTTTTGGATCCAGAATCAGAAGCTTCATTTGGAGAAAGCTGAATTCCTTGCCTGTCTACTTCTGTAGCTCTTATTGGACTAATTGAGTGAGCTTTCACCTCTTCTGCCAGCCAGCTAGCTAGCCCAAAAGATGGAATATCTGGATTCTGCTTTTCATTATAACTAAAGCTCACAGATTTCATCTCTGATGAGAAAAGTCTGCCCTGTTCACCAGAAAAATGCTGAGCTTTTTGTGTCACAGTTTCATGAACAAGATCTGAGGAAACAGCTCCCAGATGCTCTAAGGATGTATGTGTTTGGTCTGCAAAATACGGTCGCATTTCACGTCTAGACTCTCCTTCAGCATAAATGCCTTGAACTATGTTAGATTGCTTTCCAAGCATGCCTACTATGTCAGATAAGGATGATTGAATATTTTGCTTCTCTTCATCATCAGTGAAAGCCACTGATATGGACTTTTCAGGTAATGTATGAGAAGGGACAAATGAATTTGATGACACTGCTTGCGGTTCTGCTACAGCAGACACCTTTGAATCTGTGGTCACTGACCTTGCCACTGTCAGCATATCGGGTCGCATTTCTTGCTTAGCCTGCTCAGTAGTGAATTTGGGAGGACTTCTTAGCTGCTCTGATGACAAATATTTTGTGTCCAACAAACAATCTTGAGATTCTTTCTTGTCTTGGTCTTGTTTGTGCATTAGAGATGCACTCTCCAACTGTACTGTCTTCAGGCTTGCTGTTTTAGGTGAATAGAGCTGAATTTTTTGCAATCCTTTTTCATCATGCGGTAGAATTACATGTTTACACTCTGATTGTGCAAACTGGGGAGTAAGTGGCTGCATGCTTTGCATTTCTTGTTCAGCAAGGGACCATGTGGGAACCAAATACTCAGACACTGGTTTTGAACAAGGTAGAATTTCTTGCTGACATGTTTCATCAGCTGAATAAAATGTAACTGAAGGTTCAGACTCCAGTTTTGAAGGTACAGTTAAATAATGTTGACTTTCTAGAGTTTCTGTTTTATCTGTAGAATATGATAAATTTAATTTTTCAGGTTCTAATTGCATAGCTGTATGGAAGTAATGTGGAGTCTGTTCTTTGTCTGTTTCAGGTAAAATTACATGTTCAGCCTCTGACTGTGCAGCCACAGGCAAAGGTAGGTTAATTTCTGTATTCTCTGTGTCTTTTCTTGCAAGGAAGAAATCTGACTCGGGCTGGGCAATTTCTGACTGCTCTGTTTTACAGTGGGTGTAAGATAAATCTAAGTGCTTGGGGGACAGGACTCCAATTACAGGTGAAGACCTGAGATTTCCTTCTGGTTTTGTTTCAGAGACAGAATGTGAAACACCCAAAGGTACAGACACTGTTTGTTCAGTAGGAGACAAATATGGTTGAACTTTTTGGCTCTCTGCTTCCTCAGTGCAAAAGGATAAATCTTGTTGTTCAGTTTCCAACTGAGCACTTAGAGTAGCCCCAGTGTCTTGCTTCTCTGAATGTTCTGCTCTCAGCAAGGCCACTTTATGCTTTTCTGCTTTGTCAGCAGAACTTAATAAATCTGACTGTTCAAAGTCCAGTTGTGCAGTTCCCTGTTCCTCGGTCCTGACAAAGGTATACGATACAGAAGGTGTTTCTGGTTGCTCTGGTTCAACAACAGAGTGCAGTTCAGGTTGGGCCCCATCTCTCTGCTCCATTTCACCCATTAAATATAATGTCTCTGAATGCTCCAGCTGGGCAGCCTGTGGTTGCTCTGCTTTGCCATAGGAGTACAATGAATCTGGCAGTTTCACTCCATGAGTCTCTGCTTTGCCAAGAGAATATGACAAATCTGGACATTTTGATTTGAGTAGTTCTGTCTGCAGATGTTCTGCTTTTCCTGTGGAACACAAAAAATCTGAAGGCATGAACCCTTCTTGTGCAGTTTCCTGTTTTTCTGTTTTGCCAAGCGAATGCGATAAACCTGGTTGCACTATGTCTAACTGTGAAGCTGGTTTCCACTTTTCTTCACCAAGGGAGTGCAAAAAGACAGCGTGCGCCATTCCCTTTTCCTCTAGTTTACCAAAGGACTCCAAAAGCTCTGACTGTTGCAGTACTTCTTGGGCAGGCTGTGAGTGCTCTGATTTGCCAGCGGGATAGGATAAATCCATTTCTTCCACCTCTGGTTGTTCAGTTTCACAGTATTCTCGCCGACCTACAGAATATGACAAATCTGGATAGTTTGATTTCTGATGTGTAGCTGCTTCTTCTAGTTCTCTAACAGGATAAGATAACTGCTGATGTTGCAACTCTGGCAACACCATTTCTTGTTCTCTTTTGACAGAAGAATACAATGAACCTTTATGTTCTGGTTCACATTGCACAGTTTGCATTTCATCTGATTTGCCAAAGGCACATGTTAAATCTTGTTGCCCTAAGTCCATTTGTGTTGCTCCTTGTGACAGTGTTTTGCATACGGAAAATACTAAAATGGGAAGTTCCTGCTCTGGATTTGCCATTCCTTGATCCTCTGTTTTTCCAATGGGACGAGGTGTTACAGGCTGCTCTGATTTCCATTGCGTATCTGGTGGCTGCTCTACTTTGTCACTGGAATATGACAAATCTGGATGCTCAACCTCTGGTTGTGCTGTTCCTCGCTGTTCTGTTTTGTCAGTGAAATGCAGCAGGTCCTGACGCTCTGCTTCCCCTTGAACAGTTTGTGGTTGCTCTGTCCTCCCAGGGCAGGCTGATAAATCTGGTTGTCCCAAACCAAGTTGTGTGGTTTCTTGTTGCTGTGTTTTATCAGTGGAATATGACAAATCTGAATGTTCCACCTCTTGTTCTGCCATTTCTTGTTGCTCTTTTCTGCCAGAGGAATACAAGTCTGGGAATTCCCCTTCCAGTGGGGCCCTATTTGGTTGCTCTGCTGTGCCACAAGAACTTGAAAACATCAGCCGTTCCAATTCCAGTTGCACTGTTTCCTCTGGGTGTAATGAGCTTCCCCTCTCCTGTCTGACCTCCAGGTGTGCCATTCGTTTTTCTTCAGTAACCGAAGACGACAAATCAGAGTGCGGTATTTTGCCCATGACATCTGAGATGTTTGGATGTTCAGACTCCAGTGAGGCAGCCCATGATGGCTTTGTTTCGACAAAAGAATGCAACAAACCATATTCTTTCAACTCTGTCTCTGTTGTTCTATGAGGTTCTGATGTGCCAACAGAGAATGACAAATCTGCATATTCTGATTTCACTTGGGAATTTTGCAGTACTTCTGTTTTCCCCATAGAGCACTGCAGTTCAAGGTGTTCTGCCTGCATTCCTG